TCTTTTGATAAATTCTCATGTTGCTTTTTGTTGAAACTAATTCGTAGCGGCGCTGCGAGAACGATGCCTTTCTTGGAACGAGAATAATTTCGCTCGTGCACGATTAATCTTAACCATAGCTTTGTATTCGGGAACGCATTTCAGGTCTCGCGTGACTCAGGCCGGGATTGAGCAAGAAAAAAGATGCATCGATCAATCAAGCTTTAATACCTCGTGATCGAGTGCTACCGGCTCCGATGGGATCTCAGAATGAGAGAAGATGAGACGCACAAGAACGTGGGATATCGATCGCAGGAGGATGAACCGCGTAGTTAACCTTCGTCGCTACACGATGGTCATTAGGGTAGCTCTCTCACCGCGCGTCTTCGTTCTTTTTGCGGCATTCCCCCCGTGGGTTCGCTTGTACCCCGACGAGAGAGAAAGGGAAAATTGAGAGCGCCCGCTCTCGGATACTATCAGACAACTTCGACCTTGAAAACGTCTCGAGGATGCGAAGACGATTAACTCGTCTGCCGACAAACTGTTGCTTCCAATTTTAGCCAGCCTAATTATCACGGAATATCAACGAACTGCATTATATCCAGAGCACCGTGATTTGTTGCATAATCAAAAAAGTAGCAATTATACAACAGAAGTGTTACTTAATCCTATATAGATATACACACTTCTTTTTTGCTCATGAAAAAGTGTATATTAGAGTTCCGGGAAGCCTATTCATATTTATTATCGTAACTCCAGCAAAAATGGACATATTTTAATTAATTTGTTTGTTTTCAATCAATGGAGAGTTGTAGCTGCTCAAGAAGCAGATTCATAATTTATAAAAGTCAAATAGAAGTAAAATACTTTGAGATACATAATTTTGAAAACAAAAAAACGCGAAAACGCCAAACTGAGAAAGTTATACGGTTTCAAGGATCTTAATCAGTTTTAATAATTTACTGATCTATTTGTCGACGTAACTAATTAGGGTAAACTCGGGTATGATGGCCATAGTTTTTTAAAATGCAAAAAACATACATTTATTCCTGTTACTTTTTAATAATATTTGGGATATTACTTTCATTGAAGCTTAAAGTAACAAATACTATCGAAATTAAAGAGAAAACACTTAACAGAACTTTAATATTATCAAAATATTACAAAGTAAGCATTGGCCATCTTATCTGATTTTTAGGGATAAGATGGCCATGATATTATAGGATAGCTGACCATACATATTTTATGTTAAAAAAAATCAAACAAAGATTTATTAAGGAAATCAAACAAAGACTTTTATCATTGATCATAAAAAAAGATTTATAATAAAAAAACAATGTTTTTTATGTTTATTACTTATCAGTTTTTGAAATAATTTTGCCACACGTTTGACAAACATCAACAAATGATGTACAGGTTTCATGTAACCACCGTTTGCAACGGATGCATTGAATCCAATCTACTTTTTCCATTGTGAACTTATAATCCTTTTCACATTACTACGAAAAAAAGTGAGCCATCTTACCCTAACTGTAACGGAAAGATAGCCATAGTATTTATAAATAAATAGTGAAGATAAAAATATTAATTATAGGTTACATTGAAATTTACGTACATTTATTGTGTATGTAATGTCGATTACAGCAGCTTAACTGTAATTTATTTGATATTATAACAGTTTTTAGCAGACATTTGGAAAACTTTGCAGATAGTCGAAAGAAAAAATAGATAATATTTATAATATTATTATTTTGAATAGTGTATTTACATAAACTACTGTAAACATTGATTATTTATAAGAAAGAATAGAAAAATGCACTATTTAGTAATTATTGGGGAAATTATGACTTATGGCCATCTTTTCCGTATGGCCATAATACCCGAGTTTACCCTATACAATCTTCGTTTTCACTACCAGTAGTCTGACCTTAATTTTGTTACTCGATCCTTGATATATTTCCCCTTCATTATGTAGATTTCGGCAAATAAAAGTTCATTCTTTTTAGAAACATGATTGAATATTTTACACAAAATGTGAATAAATTGGAAGATAATACGACACAAGGTCTGTGTGCGAGCAAATAATCAGATGACAGTTATTAAAAAGCACGAAACGTTGAGAAACGCAGAGACTGTAAATTTCTCTTTTTCTTTTCATCATTCGAAATAAAATACCGTGATCCGAAAAAGCGTCATAATGTAGCCGACGTTCATCGTCATAAAAATACTGAGGAACGATATTTAGAGGGACTTGGCACGGACTTGATGTAATATATTGTCAAGTCGACGCACGTCCTCTGCTGTCTGACCCCTCTCTCTCCCGAACATGAGTAGCAGCAGTGGCAGACGATGTAGGAGGTCATCATCGTCGTCTAGTAGCTTGCCAACCTAAACCCTCTGTCGCCCTTTTCCGCCTGGGCTCTTACGAGAAGAGCTTTAATATCTCAGTCATGTTCTTGGTTCACGGACTATTAATTATCCCTACCTAGATGCTCGCTGAACTCATCCCGTGGGTCAGGTCGCTGGATTTGTTGCGAGGATTAGCTTCAATGACACGTAAAAAGCATGCGAAAGAAAGAGAGAGACGATTTTTATTTATATCGTTTAGCGTTAGTTGTGCAAAATTCAATGAACGAGATACAATGAGAAATTGGGTTAAAATGAATGGAATTGAGTTCATTCTTTATATAAAAGTAAAAACAGTACTCTTCAAGTTTTATACCAACTACATCAAAATAAACGACCGTAGCTCTAAGGCCGGATATTTTGAGCTGATCTTTTCTTAAATGCCAAGATATCAATAGCTTCCAATTTATATGACTTGCATTGTCGCCATAATAGTTTTGTACTTAAATTATTCGTAATCTAAAGTTCACCGGGGTTAGTTTCAAACATTCCAACTTTTAGTTTGCCGTATTTACAGAACTTACACACCGTCTCTTTCGATCGATGCATCGCTAAAGCGATATCATACCGACCATTGACAGACGTGGAGTCACGGCCGAGTCCACGTCAATCTTCAACTATGTTTCCATTGTTATTGATAAAGTAAATGCAAGTTTTATACATTCAAGAATAACTTTCTACCCAACGAACTTTGACTATGAATAATTGAAAGACGGAACTTCACGAGAAGGGGATTTGTCAATTATGATAATCATGCAAAGAGAGTATTCGTAATACTCTGGAAGAGAACGAACTTTCCAAGAACTTGTATACAATTCTGCGATTCAATGATACACGCACATTGAATAATGCTGAAAAACTTATGTTAATGCGATCTCTCAGTGTTATCGCACTTTCACCTGTCTACTCCTAAAAAGCGGCAGCCTGTTCTGAAATCAGGGTGAGCATATAATAGAAATGAACGGTATCGAAAGTTTTGGCGGGCGGCCTTCGGTGAGGTCAAGCCGAGGCACAGCGTGCACGGCTGGCAGGGTCATCGACACGTGCCGATCAGTGGCGTCGGTGTTAGTAAATGTTCTACCGGTTTATATTTATACAAGCCGAAGAGCGACGGTTTCGGGTCACCGCCTCGTTGTCGACATTGCCGCACGAATGATGACTCGATTACTCGGGCCGAGCCTCGTCTCTATCGCGATAATCCGGCGGAAGTCGGAGGAACGGCTCGCAGCTGGCGCCCGGAAACGCACGTAGATACACGTTATGCGCGCGCGCAACAACGCTTGGCCGTGGATACGCACGCTCGAGCCTGTCCCGTCCACCTCTTTTCTTTTTTCTTTTTTTTTTTTTCAGGCGCATCCGCCTGTCTGCCCTCCCCGCATACGACGAGAAACGAGAATGGCGAGTATATACGCTTGACGTAGTCACGCGAGAGCAGTCAGACAAAGAAAGTCCGACGGCTAGAACCGGCGAGAAAGCGCCGAATGCAGCTGCCACAACGGTCGGGCATTCACTTCCCCGATGCCGGACGATAATCTCGTTTCCTTCGTGGATCTACTGGCCGGCTGAACGTTTTGTCGCGAAGACACGCGAACGAGTAAATTACGGGCAAAAAACGCCTGCTCCTCGCGAATATTTGAGGAACTCGGAGCAATAAAGCGTCGAGAAGCGTGGCAATTCGTGTTAATCATGATATTGGATCGAAATGTTATTGGCACGTTTCAGATCATTTCTGTGTCGAGGTTATTGACGAGGCAATTGATCGAGCAAAAGAAAGATACGATAAACGTCACGGATTACGGTGGATAATTCACGTCGACAGGGAAAGCGAATCTAAGGTTTAGATTATTGGCATAACGTAGTCATGACATCGTCACGCTGCTGTTCAGGGCATTATTATGCGCGTACTCAAAATCGCTCGTGCATGTGGCAGCGCTATTAATGGCGCACGTAGTCGAGCGGAAAAGTAGCCGTGGTAAATAAACTTTTTATCGTCGTTACATATCGCGTTGCAACCATCAATTGACTGAGGCGATTATAGAAGACGTAATGCTACGTCAAAACTATTAAAGCGCCGTTTATCGAGACGCGGATCTACTTTCAATCTATATAAATTTACGGATATGTATCGATGCCTGTTCTCAAGCATTTTTATAAATACCTATACTATTATATAACTTATGTTTCCATTTCGAAGTAAAGACAGATTAAAATCAATTGAGAGAAAATTGTTTCTATATAAAGTTGAATATCTAATCAAGACCATTTTTTGATACATTTTTTAAAACTTATTATTGATTCCTTTTTATACATTTCTCTTCTAAGTATATACCGAAGTTTAGTTTCCCTTAGAGAGTGACGTAATTAAATATCATATTTTACTCATAAGATATCCGTTTTATTATTTCTTATTTTTCTTATTATTCCTTATATAATTCGAAAAAACAAACTTTATAGAAAAAAGATCTCTGCCAATTTTTAGTAATTTCTTTCAATTTCTCTTCACGAAAAACATTGATTATGAGTTTCTCAATCTGACAACTTTTCCAAACTTCTGACGTAGAATTCGCAAAAATGTATCATTGGAAATAGAAAATCGATAAAGAATAAAACACGACTCACCGTAGCATTCTATCATGGCGGTCTCTCTCGAGCAGTTCCTCGGGACTGGATGGTTGTGGGCCTAAAAGTGTGTGCGAGAGCGGCGGGTAGGCCCTGGACGGCCTCCAGAGCATCTCGGCAGCATGGTGACTCGGAGGAGGTGGATTGTGGTAGCCGACCGGCGGCGCCGTGGCTGCGGCACTAGCGCCGGCGTTGGGCGCGCCCTGAGACGGATGCGCCATTAATAGGGACGTGTGTTGCACGCTCTGGACGTGCCAAATTCTGGCCGGGGCAGCGGCGGCAGTGGCAACGACGGGGGCTAGCGGCGTCGAGGATGATGTTGTCTCCTCGACGCTAAGCGCCGAGCTCCTGCTGCCGCTCCTCTCGTCGCCAGAACTGGCGCTCTTGAGCGAGCTTACCCCGCTGTCGGAACCGCTGTCGCCGTAAGTAGCGACACCAACGGCGCCGCTGCTGCCTCCCGACGACCGTATGCCACCGACCGCCGTAGGCACACCGACGAGGACGCCCGTTCCAGGTATACCGGCCCCGGCCTCCACTTCCATGAGGCCGGCCTCATCGCCACCCCTCGATGTGTGAGACTGCTGTTGCACCTCGAGGAGGCTCGACGGGGTCAGGCGAGCGGTGGAATGGTGATGATGTTGGTGCGGGCTGCTCGCTAGCTGATAATGATGATGTTGCGACGGTGGCTGTTGTTGCTGCTGCTGTTGCTGCTGGTGATGGTGATGGATCACCGGACTATTGGCGGAATAACGCTGTTGGTGATGCTGTTGATGGTGATGATGGAACTGTTGTTGCTGATGATGCGGCTGATGATAGGATTGTATGTGAGGGTGGTGATGGTGACCGGCGATCGGCGGTGGCGGCTTGTTCAGTCTCTCGGCAAGGATGATCGGGCTCTCGTTGTGCCGATTGCGCTCCTGCTCCCGCTGCTGTTCCAGGAGCAGGCTGCTCTGCCTGCCGGGGCCGCCGCCGCCGCTGCTACTAAACGGACTCAGCCTCTCCAGCACGGAGCCTGAGTCCTGACTGCTCGACTCCAGCAGCTCGACGACCGATTCGACGCTGGCCGCCCTAACGCCACCGACGCTACCCACGCTATCCTCCGTGCCTAACTCGGTGATGGTCAGCTCTGTGCGTCGCGATCGCTGCGAGCTCACTTCTTCTTCACTCGCGTTTTCGTCGCGCTCGTTCTCTACTGCCGCCGCCGCCGCCGCCGCCGCCGCCGCCGCCGCCGCCGCCGCTACGTCCTCTCTAGCTTCTTCCACAAAATTTTTTGTCTTTGATCGAGTTGACTTTAGCACCGACGGACTGCCCTCGCGGATGGCATTTGTCTTATCGCTGACCAGCGGCGAATCAACATGCAATCCATTCACGAGTAACTGCGGTGGCTGTTGCTGTTGGTGTCGTTGTTGTTCCTGACTTTCGCTGATCTTATCTGCGTCCCAATCGGTCGCGCGAGCGTCCTTTCTCGATTCTGATTTGTTATCTGGTTGCTGCTCCTCCTTGGTAGCCGGATCGCCTCCGGGATCGACTTTGTCCGGAGGTGGTGGCTCGGGTTCTCTATCCCGTTCTCTGGACTGACTCTCCTCGTCCTCTTCAAGTTTACCAATCTCTCGTTCGGCTCCGTCGTGTTTTTCCGCCCCCGCTTCCTCCTCAACGTCGTCCTCGTCGTGGTCTTCCTCCTCGTCTTCTCCCTCTGCTTCCACCACCGATCTTCTGGTCCGATCCGCTACAGCTTCCTCAGCGTTTTTGCTCTTACTACTCTCGGATCGGAGCTTTCTGCCGACGGGGCTTGTTCTTAGCCGCTTAGTCAGTGGATCGCAGCGTTCCTGACTCTCTTCATCCTCCCCCTCGAGACGTTCTTCCTCCTCTTCCTCTTCCTCCTCCTCTTCTTCCGATTTGTTACCGAGGCGTTCGTCCTTGTCGACTCTGGCACCGGTGCGATGATGATGCTCGACAGACTCTACCTCTGTGTCTGTCTTGACTTCTTGACCACCTCCTCCTGGCCTCGGTCTTCTTCGTGCCGGTCTCTGATGCTGTGCCGGCCCCTGGTCGGTGGTCGGACTCTTTACCGCGGCGCCACGTCGTCGTAGTTTCGAAGCACTTCCCGATGCACTGTTTGCTTCTTCTAACACCGGCCGTGCAACACGATTGCTTACTTTGCTAGCCGGTGGACCTTTATTTTCACGATCCTCTTGTTGCCGTGTGGATTCCGCTGAATCTTTTTCGTTTCTCTCGCGACTGGCACCTTCGCTCACGCGTCGACGTCGATTGTTACGGGCATTGTTCTTCTCTGAAACAAGAAAAAGCGATGGTAAATGTGTGATGCATGAAATACATGCTGGAAAGTGAAATTGATACTGTAACTAACTTGGAATCGAGCGCAGTTAATTTTAACGTTATACAATACGTTAAATTAGCTGTACCTATTTTCTGTATCTATGTCATAGGACTATAATGTGCGAGGAAATATAGCAAATCGTTAACTCAGTTCTTAAAGTTCACAACTTTAGTACATGCTCCAATTTTATGATATTACGATTTTATATAGTACTATATATGTGGAATATGCACAAGTATACTATGTATTTTATTATAAATTAGTACTTTATAGCACTGTATGTAACTTCATATAGTTGTACATAACTGACGAGAAATGTTTTATAACTTAAAGTTTTTAAGAGGTGATGATGTTAGAGTTTTTCCCACAGTGTGACAAACTCGTATAAAAACCGACATCAATTCGGAACTTCATTCATACTTCACTTTTTGTTTCCGCATTCCAGAATCTTTGGATAACGTGGCAGTATAAGTAATCTAATAATATCACGCGACGGAAATTGATTACATGTAAAGAACATCACAAGCTTGCAAGCGAGTCGCACGGCCGTTAATTATTGAAATTATCGACGGTACGACGGTAGATTATCGCGCGCTCGATATGCTTGTACACGAAGGTTATCTCGATACCCTTGATCGGACTGCATAATTGTGGCGAGCAACCGATCGATCCCTACAGCTGTTCGGTACATCGACTGTTCACCGTCCGAAGAGATTATGGAGCTGATTTACCGAGGTAATCCCTTTGATGTGCACATCAGTCAGTGATTCGCATAACTCGGTAACCCTAGGACGCTATATAAAGCAATCTCTCTGGCAACTCCCTTCTTCCACCCTCACTTGATATATATTCGCACAATTCAATATATTAATTCTCATATATTCTCCCAGAAGGAAATATTGTTTATCTTTCAAATTTCACGGAATTGCAAGTTACAAAGAAACTTTTGACACATTGAATAATTGTAATTCAGTTTCTGACACATTATTACTATCATTCAAATGGAAAAATGAACTGACGTGTGAAATTGAAAAAAAGAGACGATGGTAGAAATAACTTAAATCTTCTTCACAGTTGACATATGTGATACAAAAAATATCTTATCATATAATTAACGATATTTTTACAGATTATTTTCAAAGTCAAGTACTACTTTGAATTCCGATATTAAAATATAAATCACGATAATAATATAATACCATTATCCTCTGCTCAATTGGCCGCCATCCAAACGCTGATAGCATCGGTAATAATGACCATAATAACTGGGTATTAGCTAAAGGATTGTTATTGGCTCAACATTAAATCTTCTTAATTTATTAGACTAAATCGCTGCTCGTGCAATTGTACGTCGTTCCTGAATACTCGACAATACGGCAGGACATTATCAATCGCAGTTATGAATCTTGTCTACTGACCTCGATTGAGAGCGTACTTTGTACACGGATCAACAACGACGAATCATTTCAACCGAGGAATTGTATCGTAGTAGGTACGCTGGCACATTCAACTGGGTTTCCGGTTTCCGTCGCGTTAGTGCGAGTTCAAGGGAGTTCAAGGGGGTCTTCGATTAACCCGGTAGGTACATGGCCGTAGCATGGGAGCAATTTACAACAATGCACGTCATACACGTATATCCCATCCCGAAGAGAAGCGAGCGGATAGAAATTGCATGCCCTTCTCTTCGCGCGTGTGCGTACGTGCACGCTCGCGTGAAGGAGAAACTGGTTGGGAAAACGAACACAGAGAGGGATGAACAGGTGAAGGGGGAGGAGGCTACGCATCCATACGCACAGGCATGCATACACCCACTGCGCGAGCAGATAGAAGGACAAAAGGGGGCAGGGAAGGAAGACACGGCGCGGCGCGGCGGAGGGATTTATTACTCGGGATTTACTGTTATTACCCGGAGGGGGAGGTCCTCTCCACAACGGGCAACAGCGATGCCTATGGCGTGGGGTATGTTTATCCGATATGTGCAGTTCGTGCAGGCACACACGTATGTATACGGAGAGATATATACGGATACGAGGCGCATCGTTGGGACGAACCGACATCCGTGCATCCCGTTTCCTAGCGATCTGCGGTTTGTCGTTCAACTATTGCACGCATGCATTACGTTGCGCGTCATTGATCCTATACTTTGTTTCGCACTATCGTTACTCACACGCGTGGCGTCGTTCATACGGCCGTCACTTTCGGACCGAGATGTGATTATTGGATGTCTCTATCGATACGTGACGAGAAAATGGCTTTCCATTGTTGGTAAGTATTACGTAGCTACCAATGAGACCAAAGTATGTGTCTCATAATAAACTACGGAAGATAATAGTAATAATTCATATAAATGACACGAAAAAGAATGTATTTTGCGTACAAAATTAAGAATTATTTTCTTCTTACGTTTCTCTCGTTTCATTACGGTGAATGATAGAAAGCGGGATAACCTTGATAACCAAAATTTCTATAGTCGTAGATTAATTCTGATAAAATCTAAAATCTAAAATGGAAAGTAAGAGAATCCCCCCAAAAGATTTGTGTGAATACCTGAATATTAAAAAAGGTCGAAGAATACGTGGCTGGATACAAAACTCGTGTTGAAGCAAAAAGTACTTGAAAAAAATATAGGTCGGAGAATTTTATTCAGCCCAGGGCGTAAATTTTTATTTATACGATACTTTCATCTTTCGTCCGAAAGTCCACTTTTATCTTTTTTTCGTAATACAAATATTTACGTAACGGATCCGCATTTCATGTTTAAAATGATAACGTTAGAGAGCAACAAGAAACATCATGTTATCTTATAATTCTCAGAGGATGCGATAACCAGGTTATTAACATGTAATTATCGTTTCATAAAAACATTGCGAGACTGTATTATATGAGATGAATGATACTGTTTGTGTGTTCTTATGAACAGATTAGATATTTATATCTAACAAGAAAACACTTCAATATTCGTAGTAAATGTGAAGTATAATATTAGTTATTGGACTGTTATTCCAAGCGCGTTGCATTATGTAAGATCTACACGTGCGGTTTATTTGCATGTAAATTCTTATCGTCGTATGTACAGAGCATGACAAATTGCTTTTGTTCTCTGAAATAAGTATGATAAAATAAAACAAGTTCGCTACCACAAGTTCACTGGTAGAAAACTGAAAGATTTATAACAGTAACGTCATTAAGTGGTTCCACCAATATAAGATTAACTTTAATCTCGGTTAAACTTACTATTTATCTTTTTCTAAGAATTATAGACAAAGATAAAGAATAAATGGAACAGAGACTAAAGTTACTTTTACATTGGTAAAACAGGGCTAAGAGAGAGAGAGAGAGAAAATTATAAGACAAAATGACAAAAATAAAATTAAACAAATAATACTACGTGTAACTAATTCCTTCCAAGCTATCTTAAATACTTGATATCATTAACAAATTGCATTAATTCACACATCGATTATTTTTTCACGAGACAATCTCCAATCTCCACAATCGAAAATTGTTTTCATGACCTTGCATCTCGCTTAGCAGCGCGGAAAGCGGAGGGCTTTAAAAGTGCATGACCCTTCAAAAGGGGTTAGGTCGTGAAAAACAACTCCTACGCCAGCGCTCTTTGTCACAAGGGGCAACGGTGCATCCCTAGTTTGAGATATCGTCAGCTTGCTCCGGAGTTACAGGGGTGCGGGGAATTAGATATGCTTGGGCGGTCTCGCCAGGCATTTAAACCCTTTGTCAAAATCAACGCCCCATGCAGACAAACGGGCAAGCAGGTAGTCCTTCAAACTCTCTCTCTCTCTCTCTCTCGCTCCCTCTCCTTCTCTGTCTCCCCGTGGTTAACGAAACATCACCCTCCTACCACCGACTCTTACCGCCCATTCTCTCATACGTCTACTATCGACCGCGTCATGCTGAATCCGCATTCTGCACGCGCCATTAGTTTCAACGCGAGTATCAGTCACTGCCATCCGCTCGCTCTATTACTTCTCTTGAAACTTTACGTTACATACAAAAGTTCGAGAGAGAAAGAAAAAGACAGAAAAATATATCATATGGAAATTTAGTCAGATTAATGATTAATAGTTTCGAAAAATTTTTATGTATATTGTACACAATTTCCATTTGCAAATTAAATTTTATAAACACAAATACTAACATCCTCTATTCATTTAATTTTTAATTTTACTCTAATGTTAGATAAAGCACATTAAACCTAAAATATCCTGCATTATTCAACTTGGGAACATTTGTGATGCTAGAGACAGTCATTAAAATTATATATTCGCGCTGCAATACCTGTCAATTAAGTATTTGAGTGGATAAATTTAAATCACTTTATTATTCATTTACTCTTTTATTCGTAATGCATTCCCACTGAATTTTGTTAATTTTAATGCATTCACTAACAATTCGTCAAATTTTCTATACGGTAAGGATCCCGGATGTTAAGCGCGTCTCATGTTCCGCATCTCATTCGTGTAATAACGCGAACGAGTTTTACACGAATGATATAAATTTAGAATTAGATAGTCGCATTGAGCGCTAAATGCGCAACATAAATACGAGGTTTAACGTATATGTTAATACAACAGGATTGCTACACAATTGTAAAAATTGCCGTTCACCCCGCAGATGGAATATATTACAAAATGTTACAACATTTGCTTTATTATTGATTTTAAAACTTGGATGGAGATTTCCGTTTATATACGAGTATAAACGGAAGAACGTAAAGGTGTGGTAATAAAACATCGTATTGAAATTAATACGGCAACTGATTAAACGCATATAATGCGGTGCTTTAAATGCAAGAGCGATTTATGCACTAGATGTACGATGCAGCACTTTGATAATTAGGTTGATCAATTAAGCGTATTTGAGAGAAAATCAGATAAATGCTACGGCATGTATTAACGCAAGGAATTATACACGACAGTCTATACCAAAGAGCA